TTCATCGGAAGATGCATGTAAAGTTGTGTCGAACATCGGCTAACCCGAAACATTATGTCGGTCCATTCATCGGCAGTGTTTGACTATATGTAGGTTACACGAAATACGATATTTCCAGTTTGGGTTATTTATAAGTGAGCAATGTGGGTCGGTTATATCTTATAGTGCCCCGAGATAGCACGAAACACAAAAGTAGCTGATAAGACCCCACGTGTGAAGAAAATGTCTCCAGGAAGCAACGATAGGTGTAAGTCATGCGGCGTGACAACCACACCCTAAACTGGGCTCCGTCACTACATACCATTAAAAGCTTGCGGAATTTGAGGATGCGCAAGGCTAACCTGGAAGCAGCTGTTCCATTACACAACACGAACACCACATATTCCTTGCCTACGACTTTATCTGATGTTTTGCGGATTGTCACAAGGAGTTATTACGAAAAGTGAGTGAGTATGGTTTTACGCCGCTCTTAACACAATATTCGGCAGCGATATCACAGATTGTACCCAATGGGGAATCAAACCCCGTCTTCAGTGCCACGAGCGAACGCTTTAACCACTAGGCTACCCCACCGCCCCGTTATTACAATGTTAGGGTGAATACACAGAGGAAAAGTATAAGAGAATATATAAACTGTAATACGCTCCATACGCTCCAACTACAGCATATGGAGTTTTAAATCAGTACATATAAAAAGATAGCACCGATTGCAATGTATTGTCAGGGAAATTACACGAGGACAACAGTGAGTGAGTGAGTTTAGTTTTACACCGCACTCGGTAATATTCCAGCTATATGGCGGCGGTCTGTACATAAATTGAGTCTGGACCAGATAATCCAGTGATCAAAAGCATGAGCATCGATCTACGCAATTGGGAAACGATTACATGTGTCAACCAAGTCGCCTCTTACGACAAGCATGAGTTACTGCATGAAGATCAATTCTAACCCGGATCTTCACGGATTCACGAGGACAACATGGACCTCGGGATAAACTACCGGACAAACGAAGGTACACACTCACTTTTGGTGGTTGCTAAAATGAAACGAGACATGGCTAATTGATGGTGGTGTATCTGATTCGGGTATCTCAGGCGACAAGTGCCGATCGTAATTGTTTGGTCAAATCCGAGTCCATTTTCTTTAACCATGCCGTGTAGATTGTCAGTTCGCAAAGTATAGCGCAATATGGTTGAAATACATTCACTCTTCATGAATCTAACTGACTCGATCACAGACTACTCAAAGACACACCATGTTTTGCATGGCTCGATCATCGAATGACTACATCATGCATAGTCCCAGACTCCAAGAGAAGACATTAAATGGGACTGCTATTGAAGTCTAGGTTTTGGCAAGTCTAGGTTGCCTCAGCTCTAAAAATAAGGATTGTTCTTTTGTCATCTTTTTAATAAAGATAACTTTATTTGTGGGACTAAATGTCAGTCTGCGTCATTCAGCATTAGGCGCCATTCTTCCCAGCGTGCCTGTACAAACTCACGTCTGCTTGCTGAAGTCTTCATGGTCGCGTACTTATCATGGAGATTTATCTTGACGATCAAGGTGTCCTGAGAGATGTGACATGTAAGAAGAGCGAGCTGACATTGGCAACAAGTGGTCTTGTTTATGTACCTTTACATTGTCATGTTGATAATAGAATTGGTTCAGTTGGAGAAAGAAACTGAAGGCGATATTTCCTCGACATAACGTTGTGTTGTGAGAAACGCGTTCGACACAGCTGGTTACGTCTTTACTTGAGCACAAATCCAGGCCCAAATCATTATGCTGCCGACTCCAAATGGTACAGTGTCCTGGATAATACTTTCCCATCTCGTTTGGCGAGCTGGAACCTGCTCTTGTCAGAGCACATTATTCTCTGCCTGTCCTGCTCTGCCGTCGTTGTACAGTGCACGGCCATACGTCTCTCTCCATGTTGAATTGTCAACGTGATCCCCTGGAAGACCCGAATACCATGGCGCATATCCAAGAGGCTGACATGTCCGTGTCTTCCCTTCCTTCCAATATCAACCTATTAACATTTGACTGCAACTAAATGGTCTTGATCCCAGATTCCAATAGCAATTGTCTATACTACCAATAAACGTGACATGTAAGCATAGACTCGTGGAAGCGCTAATGTGTACCAAAACCGGAAGTGACTAACCTCAAGAACACGGGTAACGGACAAAGGGTCCGTTCGTCGATATGAACAAAGGGACAGCGGTTTTTGATACTCTTTGCAGTGAAGTGAGGGCCCACCGACAATGGGACACGAACCTTTTTTCAAGTACGAGCTGTGGGGATGAGGAGTCAGAATAATCACCACGAGTGCACCTTGATGAAAGAGCCGAAGGAAATCTGGTCACTTGGTGACTGCGTATCATTCCTTTCGATGCTATCACAAACCAGATGGAACCTTCCATTTTGGGTCGACATGAGGTGATTATTGCCGGTTTCCAGACCATTGCCGCATTTCTAGTGCTACCCAACTACCGTGCCGCAGTTCAACATAAGTATCCTACATCACACGAACAGAGCCAGAGATTCTTTGTTTCACCAATTTACTGTAGAATGTCAGGCGGAGGAACAACTAGTTCCATACAACTTCTTTTAGTTCTCTGCACCAGACCTGAAGACGTTACAGCATTCTTTACGGGCGATATAGTGTTCAGCACAAGAGATAGCTATGTATCTACCAAGTTATGCAAGAGGTAGAGTCTTGTCACACCAGCCTCAAGGCCACCTATGTCGCCCAGACAAACCAGTGAAATCACTGAAGATATGACAGGAAAGCAGCCAGATATCTTGTTGATCAAAGTCTTGAAGCGAAGGACGGTTATGTAAGGCAGCAGATAGGACAATACTGTGCTGTTTGGTATAACTCGCCATCCCAAAGGCTGGTAAACAATCAACTATGCAGGGGTTCAATTTATTTATTTATTTATTATTTTGTGTGTGTGTGTGTGTGTGTGTGTGTGTGTGTGTCGTGTCAAATTTTAATAGCTACATTTTGACCAGATATGAAATGAAATCCAAGTTTATTTGCAGTTTGAAACCGTGAGCACTGCACAAATTATCTGGTAGCCCACGGTCATGTAAAATACCATTATTTGATCGCCCGGGTGTCGGGCGATGGGATTTTTTAACCCTTGCTATGGATCCCACAGTGACTGAAACATGTTGCCACGTTGGGGAAATCATTTTCTAAGGTCATTATAGATGTATCCCACATCAATATAAGTGGCATCAGAGACAACATTTGCAAGCCCGGTTCAGAGTGAGCTTGCCACATTGAAACTTCGTAGCCAACTCGAAGCTTTATTCGGCTCTTAAAAGCATCAGGTGAAACCCCTTCATACAACAGTGTAAGCCAGTGGTAATCAGACCATAGTGGTCAAGTTAAATAAGTTAAAGCATTGGTGAGGTGAGGTGAAACGTCGTGCTTGAGAATATTTCGCTCATATGACGACGTGCATGCGTGTGTATGTGTATGTGCGGCTGCTGGTACTAGCCCTTCTTCTTTGGTTAGGTGCTTTGAAGGTCGCCTTCGCCTGTTGGCATTTCGGCAGACCTATCCCGCCTGGGGATGCGTGGGGGTGTCCCTCCTTGGGACTCGTGGGGGAGGCGTGGTGTCCCTCTTTGTGACGCTTGGGCCGGATGGGTGTCCCTCCTCCTCGGGACGCATGGGGCTGGACCGGAGCGTCCCTCCTGGGACGCATGGGCTGGCCCTGCTCCCTCCTACGCATGGGGTTGGGCCGGAGTGTCCCTCCTTGGGACTCATGTGGCTGGGCGTGGATGTCCCTCCTTGGGACGCCTGAGGCTGGACTGCCCTCCTTGGTTGACCCTCTTAGACTGAAGCTAGTTTTATAGTGCTAGCCCACTGAGATACCATGCGGCAGTGAAGCATGAATACCCCACTCAGACACATTATACCGACTCTGAGCCAACCAGTCCTTGTTGTATCCATTAATGCCGAGCGCCAGGCAGGGACCAACAAGTACCATATTTTAATGTCTTTTGGTCGGACGCGGTCGAGAATAAAGTAAACGAGTAGTAAAAACAGTTAGGCACAAAGCAAGGACCTTATTCATGACAAATCTATAATATCCACAGCAAATAGGATCTTATGCAATCTAGCACTTGCGTTCTTCAGAATTAGTGGTTTTCTGTCTCAATTGCAAACATTTTACTTTTCTTGAAATTATTTTTTTCTGACATAAGATAGTGGTTGGCAGCAAGTAAGAACATGTGGTGTTAAGAACAGTTAAAAGTATGTCAGCTTTAGTAAGGGAAAACCTCAAAGTGACTGGTGGGGGTGATGGCAGGAGATGGTTTTAAACTGCTTTGAACTGTGAGCTTAGTTCCTGAAGAAAGCCCAAAATCATGCACATCATGTTGACCATTTTGAGAAAATCCACAAGCAGGGTAACCCTTCACACAAACCTACAAAGGTTATCAGGACGAAACTTGATTTCTGGCAGTTATATGGTCTTAGGAAGTAAATCTGCACAACATATTCCACCTGAGATGATGGAACCAGATTTATCTCCTGCTCCAATGTAGGGCTGCAGCATGGACAGAAATATACTATTCACACTTTGCTAAGGATCAAATCATGGATTCAACAGAAAACTATGATGTGGGGTCACATTTGGTTTAAATCTCTAAGCTTATTGTAAGCATGGATCCTAGGTTTCAGTTTGTCATTTCATCTTGTGGATCACTGCTGTTGACAGGTGTTGTGTACTTGTCAATCACTGGTTCCACGATTTGCAAAATGGTTGATTGGTGCCATGAAAACCATTTTTATGATTACTCATGTATCAAGTGCATAAGGTTAGAGTAAAGTGGCTGTTTTCCTAAAGATGTGTTACCATATCATTATTTATCCAGTTTAAATGAATACAATTTCAAATTATAAATTTGCTTTTAGGTAAAGTTGCAAATTTTTGTGATCCTTAGCAAAGTGTGAGTAGTATATAACAGAATATTCAAAATCATTCTCTCATAAAATAAGATTTATTTTCTTTGGTCACCATTCTTGATATCACAACAATATTATCACAGAAAGGCTGGCATACAGGAGAGTGCAGGGATACATACATGAAAATTGATTGGTGTCAAGCTTGGCATTGTTCCTTACCATTATGATACAATAGGAAATGAAAAAGGTATGTCTCATGTGAAAACAAAACATTTGATTTAATGCTGCCTTATTTGTTTGTTTGTTGTTTAAGGCTGCACTTGGCAACATTCCAGCTATATGGCAGTGGTCTGTAAATAATCAAATCTGGACCAGAAAACTCAGTGATCAAAATCATGATCAAAATCCGAAAAAATCACCCAAGTCGGAGAGCCTGACCACCCAATCCTGTTAGTGGCCTTTTAGGACATGCATGGGTTGGTGAAGACCAATTCTAACAACTCTTGTCTTAGGTATTTGATATATTGCATGGCATTTCAGCTTAATGAGGGAAGAAACGCCAGGTGATACAGCGCTATGACATTTACGTCTTGGTGAAACCCACAAGCAAGAGTGTGCAGCTCACCAAACCAGCATTCGAACCCAATATACTACATTTCTTGCATTCACAACAGGAAACAATTTGACTGATTTCATACCGGTGGGTCAAATGACCCATTACCTATGGGAGTTTAGTTTTACACCGCTTTTAGCAATATTCCAGCAATATCACGGCGGTGGACACCAGAAATGGGCATCACACATTGTACCCATATGGGGAATCGAACCCGGGTCTTTGGCGTGACGAACGAACGCTTTAACCACTAGGCTACCCCACCGCCATTACCTATGGGAATGACAATGTGTGTCACTTAGACCTCAAGAACAAACACACCTGTGCATTTTGGCGATCATTGTACTTCAATATGAGGAATAGTCTATGCTTACAAATCAAGTCAATGCAATTTGCTTTGGATGAAATGACAAGGAGTTTATGTCACAGCGGAATAAGATGGTACATGTATTAATCAGTATAAGAGATAAATTTTTAAACATTTTTCATTATGCTAAAAAAGAAGAAGGAAATTAAAACAAAATGATTTCAACAGAAGGTTTGTACATTTGTTCTTATCAAGTGTTAAAAAGTAAAATAATAACCAGTATGAATGCCTATGGCTATTGACAACCAAATTGTAAAATGTTACTGTTAAAATCCTGAGAAATTCAATAGCAAGGAAGCCATTTGGGATTTGCATTTGCATTTACACTTACTGTACAAGCCATCATGCAGGTGACAGGTGGTGAGTAATCAAAAACCATGGTAATGAATTTATGCCAGTTTAATAAAACTATAACTGGTATTTCATCACTGAATAAAATTATTTCTGTGAGATCTCATCATGAAAAGATTCAACTTGAAAATGAATCTGTTCAGTTATCAGGACACTGTAAAGCTCCGGTGGTTTGGAGTTCCCAAAATTAGGTTGTTTTTAGGTGTACATGTTAAGGGCTGTAATGAGCACAGAATGACTGAATATCCTTGTTCCCTGGCCAGCTCTGCCCGATCAGTGTCCACCAGATTGCTGCAGTACCGACCTGCAAGAAACAAAATGGATGTACAGAACACCACATTACAGCACAGCATAGACCAGCAAATTACATTGTCACTGAAAGTCAGATATCCTCACTTCAGACAGATCTGAGGACATCACCTTATAAGTCACGTCAGAAGAACCTTCCATCTAACATTGTTTACAAGAAGGTTTGAATGTGTTTTTTAATCATGCAGCCTAAAAAGGGTCAGCAAATCTAGATGGAGTTATCCTTCTAAACTAATGCGGTACAGTTAAATAAAGATGCTTTCTGATTTCAAAGTTTGAAAAGGTCATTTCGTCTTGACATGTATTGGGATGTTCTTAAATGACTGGTGTAACACAAGTGAGCAACAGGTTCCGATTGATTTTAATTAAATTGCAGTATTTGGTTCTGCCTGGGCATCATTATTTAGCAAATTCCAATTCACATAACCTAGGTCACTTAATGAATCTGGTGGTCAGTCTCACCGACTTTGCTTGAAAGGCAGTAATAAATAATCTGACATGTCTTTCAGATTCTTTCTCATTGACAATAATTATTCCACTCCCAATACCTGATTTCCCATGTTCAATGTTTGATATGTGTTTTAGGTGCACTGCAAAAGTATTTCGGCCGTGCCATTTCAATGTTTACAGTGTTGTGCAAATTAAGCACTATTTTGATCACTGAACCTATTTTAACTAGAATCCATATGGGTTCAACATCATGTATACATCAATGTCAAATATGCCCTCACTAATTGTAACAGTACAGACAAGACATTTATGATATGAATCCGGTCAAACCATCTCTACAAGAGCCTCACCCTGTTCCTCTAGAGCTATGTTAAACTCTGTCTGGTCGGCTGCATGGCCTAAGGTCAGGAAGTCCTGGAAATATACAACACAGCATTGAAATTAGTTAAAGGTAATGTCTCCCTGTTTGCAAGTTCATTAATATTCCAGTAAGTCCTTAAAATAAACAAGTCTGTACAAGACAACTCATTAGTTGAAATTGTGTGAATGAGTGAGTTTTAGCAATATTCCAGGAATTTCACCACCAGAAATGGGTATCACACATTTTACCCATGTCGGGAATCGAACCAACGTCTTCAGCGTCATCATCAAACGCAAAGGTGCAAAGATATAATTAAGCCTGATACATAATTACTGAAACAATCAGAAGGGGTTTCCCTTCCTAGTTTAGAGATATAGTGATTTTATTTTCAAAGATCTGCATTCTTACATGAATTAGGGACAGCTTGAAATATAATACTGATGGTAAAATTTGAAGCAACACCTAAAATTTGAAGCTACGACAGCTTTCAGATGCATGGTCGGTACGCAAAATGCAACGTGACCTTCAAAAATAGTATGTGAATACATTCTACAAAATCTGGAAAGTAACTGCAGCGACAAAACACAGAATGTTTATGAAATCAAGATCATTTATTCCACTGAAGAAATGTAGTGGTAAATTCACCAAAAATGGACATACCAAAAGGTATTCACATTTTGATAAAAAAATGTCTTCATCTTGTAAAATCTGTAATGTTTTGTGGAACAATAGAACTTCTTGAAATGGAATCAACTGAAATTAACATTTGAAACAATAAATGGGTCATCAGTGGTGCATGTATCTGCCATGACCCTGAATCACCTCCTGACAGCGTCTCCTCATTGATAGCATGAGTTCACAGCAGGGGCAGATTGTTCCATGCGTCTAGCACAGCCTGCTTGAGTTCTCGAATGTTGGCCACAGGCTGGTTCCTGGCAGAAATACGCCTACCAATCGCGCACCACTTGTGTACGATCGGATTAAGATCTGGACTTACACCTGGCCAGTCAAAGGATTCAAAGTTATGCTACCCCTTAAGGTCGGTAATGATCCTAGCATGAAGAAGGCGTGCATTGTCGTCCTGGTAGATGTGCGCAACATGAGGATTGGCATGCAGAAAAGGAAGCAGAGTGTTCTCAATGATATCACGGCCATACTTCTCTGCATTCAGCCTTGACCAGCTCAAGTGACACATTTGTTCCCGTCGTTTGATGCCACCATTGATGGAATTGATATGAAAACCTAAATGGTTCCTGATGTGCCATTCATAGCAGCCGTCTATCATCCATCAACCTTTGTCGTTCATACCAGCTCCATTAGTAAAACAATTGTGATGTTAACACTGATATGTAGTACATGTCTGTCATGCCCAAATGCATTTTGTGGCCTCAGGGTTGCGAGCCATATTAACACATCAACTAACCTTGTAATTAATGTATCACCTTCATGCATCCACAACTGGAGCATTAGGCTTTATTCATTTACATCATGGGATTTTACCATCAGTATAGTTTTCTTGTTCCCTAAGTCTGTTTCCATGCAATGTAACATCTTGATATCTACCAAACCCATACCACTCCATTAGTAGGTAGTGTTGTTGGCAGTGAACTTCTGAATGCATCCACAAAGCATTGGCTTCTGGGATACGCCATGAGGTGTGTCTTCTGAATGCAGCCATAGCAACAAGGGCAGATAACAAAGGCTGAGCTGTTGTTGAGGCACTGCTGTAGCACCATGTCTGTTGCTGATCCACAAGCATGGAGACACACACCGATGTCAAACTTGCCATGGAAGTAGTCAAGGTTGCACTGAAATCAGAAATATTAACTGAAATCATAGACCTCAATGCAAAGATACACAGCATTCCTTCAAAGACATTAAATATCACTTTAGAAATTGTTTGATCTTAGTTTGTAATCAATTTTTATAAAATCTACAAAACACTTTCTGAAAAATTCATTTCAAGCAGTATTTCAGATTTCAAAGGAATCAGCCTTGTTCAACAAAGCCACCTTCTTAGTGTGGGCTACTGATATCTTTGATGTCTGTCCCCAGATTTGAGTGAAGCATTTCTGGGTTGGACACCAAAACCAAACTCAGATTTTAGTATGGGCAACTTTATCTTTGTCTCTGTCAGGAACAAGGTTGGACACAAAGATTTCTCAACTTTTCTGTCTTATCAGGAAATCTAGAAAAACAAGTTGTTTTCCCTCAAAATGTAGTTCTGTTACCATGTTAATATATAACACTTGTTGGAAGGATTAATGGATATGCTAGTCTCAAAGAGGTAGCCCACTGGGATACTATGCAACAGTGCTGCAGATGTTACCTGAATACCCCACTCAGACACACCATACACACTCCATGCACTATCTCTCTCAGGCATACCTGATAGAGAATCACATTCTTCAGTTTCAGAGCATCTATTCTTTGGATGGCTTTCACCAAAGATTCTTCCTTGTTTTCAATCAAGTATACCTGAAAACATGCAAGCGTAATCTTCTTTTCTGAATTACGTTCTGAAAAGCATCTTAAAACAGATGAGAGCATAAACATCTCTTGCCATGGACAGTGGAGTAAGGGAGGTAACCCAATAGCATCACCAGTTATGCCCCTTACAAAACCAACACGATGACAAAGTTTGCTATTCCACAATTTTATGAAAAGAATGTCTTTCAAAACATTCTATTTTGCTCTGAATTATAAACTCCTTGAAGACACGAGCTTACCTTGCATTCAGGTAGGAGATACGCCACAGCTAGGCCAAGATGACCCTGAAATTACATCATGCAGAATGTTGGATTACGTCCAGTAGAATCAATATGCCGTTCTGCAGTTTAGTCATGTCACTGAGATATCTACGTATTGGTTAATTTTTTAGAATCGATACTTTGTCAATAATGAATCGATTGTAAATTAATTATTCACTGCCAAAGAAATGTATTCATCTGTTAAGACTACCAGCAACATGAATAGGATAATACTTAAACAGAAATATCAGTAGTAAACATTTATTGGATCAGACACTTCATATTTATAACACTGATAAATTGCAGGCAATTATTATCTATGTGTGCACACAGATAACTTTAACTATTAATCAATATACTGCAATACTTTTGAGTTCATATACCCATTCTAAAAATTCCAATCAGTGCCCTTCAATAGAGCCATGCCCATTACAAAGTGACCAACAAATGTTTTGTTCATTTACCACTGACAATATACATCAGTTTGACCTATCAATATTCAACATTTGTTTTAAAACACATGCTGAGTTATATCCTCCTGTTGAACATACCCCTCCACTGCAGAAGTCAACAATAACATCGCCAGACTGAGCCATCGCTGTTACGGACGTCACCAAATTCTCCAGCTGCTGGCACTTCCTCGCTGTTCTCTTGGCGGGAACTTGACCTGAAACATGACCAGATCCATTTTGGAGTGACGGAGCAACAACAAACAAACCTTTAATGCTTAATGAATGATGAATGTATTTAAAAAGAAAACAGCATGCAATCCACTAAGTACTTGCATAGGTTGGTGGGAACAGCTCTAACCAAGACAACTCAGAGTTGCCCTGATGTTCCAAACCATCTAAAGTTCTTGACAATATTGGTCAGTGTCACTGAATTTTATAACTTCCTTTACAGTTCTGAATTAAAACTTTGGCGAAGCAAACCTTCTTTGGGGTGAACAGCAGAAGGCATGGTCCCCCAATCTAGTGTGACATCACTTCCCCGCAGGTGTTCTCCAGTCTTGGGGACGATACCACTAGCCTGGAACATCACAAACATGCAGTCAGTCTTGCAAGTTACCTCCTTGACAAAATTGGGTTGAAGTTACAGAAAGAAAATTTCTACCCAAGTGTGAGTGAGTGTGAATGAGCAAGATTTAATTATATTTAATTCATACTTATGCTGACTCCATTATCTGGCGGGGGACTCAGAAATGGGCTTCATACATTGCACCCATGTGGGGAATCGAACCCGGGTCTTTGAGCGACCACTTTAACAACTAGGCCAGCCCACCGCCCCCAGAACATAATGGCATATGGACAAACTGCACAGCAAACTGCAACCCTTAAAACAAACGACTGGGCAACCCACCTACGTAATCTTCCTCAAGACATGACTGACATCTGGTTTGTAGGCCTTGTGCTTACTTCTACACCTGCGGCTGAAACAGAAAGTGAAGAATGGGTAATAAAGGTTCGGGAGTAAGTTGAGTTTATTGCTTTTGATCAATATTGCAGTTATATCAAATTACAAATCAACCATATTTCACCTGAGTTCCATGTCATCCTCGCTGACATCCACCATCCTGGGCAGCGACAACAAGACTCCTGCTGACTTCACCTCTGTCAAGGCCTGAGCAAGGTGAGTGACCTTGAAGCAAGAGTCCACCATCAACTGGATTCCCTCTACTTTCACCATTTGTCCTAACCACTTCATGACATGTGGAGTCTTTCGGACAGTTCACAGCAACTGAAGTCCAGAGCCTCCTGAAATAATAAGCGGACATGTTCAAGAGTCTAACCACAACAATGTTTGCAACTCGGGCACTGTATCTGCACAGACAGACAGACAGACAGACAGGGTCTGAAGTCAGATTACATTCTTACTTTGTCATGTGGACAAGGGGTCTGAACTTGGACCATCAGGCTGGTTGGCTGTTGTTTAACGAGGCATTTAGCAATATTACACCTATATGGCGGCAGTCTGTAACCAGCCAATCGAGTCTGGACCAGAAAATCCAGTGATCAATAGCATGAGCATCATTCTACGCAACTGGGATATGATGGCATGTGTCAACCAAGTCAGCGAGCCTGACCACCTTATCCTGTTAGTCGCCTCTGACCACAAGCATGGGTTGCTGAAGACCAATTCTAACCTGGACCTTCACGGGTCTGGATCATCAGGACTTGAATCAGATGGGTTATGAGGGCTCAAAATATTTAGGTCTACTTCATCGATGCCAAATGTGGGGTTGAGCACATACATATTAAACATCATTTACAGTCTTATCTTCAACTAACATTCATCTGATGTTGTAAGAATTTGAAACAAAATCAGATGAATGTTAGTGGAAGAAAAAAGCTCTCATGTTTTACCTTTTGACTCGAAAATCAAAAACAACCCTCCAGTACATAAGTTCACAAAGAAATTTTGAATACATATGGCCCTCAAAGTCACAAACCAACTCCACATGGAAAAATAAACATGATCTTTCCTTCACATATACGTAAAGTGACTAGGCTGTTCTCTTAGATGCATTGATTCCATTAGTAATGTTGCTCATAACATAACTGGATTGTCTGGTCTAGCGTCAGTAATCTACAAGTAGCAGAAGAGTCAAGAATATTGCTGTGTGGCATTTAGCAGCAAACAACAACTATTAAAAGCCATTAGTCCAGTGGACAAGTATATGCTAACTCCCAATTTTTTTTGTTAAATACAGCATTTGTTAATTTTTCACCTATAAGACAATGGTCTGCAGACAAGCAATCGCTACATGCAAATGAGATACTAGGTGAGGTGAGGTGAGGTGAGGTGAGGTGAGGTGAAATGGGGTATAACATCGTTCTTGAAAATATTTCGTTCATATGATGACGTGCATGCGTGTGTATGTCTGGCTGCTTGTACTAGCCCAGACTTATGATGGTTTTATAGTGCTAGCTCACTGAGATACCATGCCGCAGTGAAGGATGAATACCCCACTCAGACACAGTATACTGACTCCGAGGCAACCAGTCCTTGTTGTACCCAATAATGCCAAGCACCAGGCAGGGACCAACAAGTACCATATTTTAATGTGTTTTGCTTTGATGCAGCCAGGGATTGAACCCGCTCTCCAGGTGGACGACCTAACCACCACACCATGGAGGTGGTCACTGAGATACTTTAACAGGCAATGAACCAAGTGAGTGAGTGAGTGAGTGAGTGTGTAGTTTTATACTCCTTTTAGCAATATTCAAGCAATATCACGCAGGTGACACTAGAAATGGGCTTCACACATTGTACCCATGTGGGAATTGAACCAAAGTATTAGGTGTGACAAGCGAACATTTGAACCACTATGCTACCCCACCACCCCTGATCCACATGATCAACATCAATCCACACAGCTGGGATACAAAGACTTGCATCAACCAACTCACAGACCCAGACTACATGATTCATGACTGTGCCTCATACAATGAAAATAGGTTGCTGGGGGAAATATTCTTTCCTAGAATCCACACTTTTATTTTTTAACCAAAAAGGGGCAGCTTCTTAGGACAGTTTCAACGAAAGATGATCACAAAGGAAGAAAGTAAGACTTACTATCACATGATACAGGTAGACAAACAGAACGAGATCTGCCACTGTCATCTCTATCCCTTCTGAGTACAGGTGAAGCAGCTCAACATCCAGATAGTTCAAGCTTTCTATACCCTTTATCAAGTCCTCAACAGAGTTATCTCCCTTTGCTGTAATCTGGGCACTCCCATTGTGTATATGTTTCTCACATTTATTTGACACATTTTGCTTTTCCTCATTTATATCTCTGAAATGTTTTACTAGTCTGAATGTTCTGTTTCCATGGGGAAATTGTTTCTCCTTCACAAGCAGAAAACTGTTTCTTCGCAATGTACAATTTTTCAGTATCTGACTTCGTGTCTTTTCATCGCCCATTTCTTCTTTGACCTCCTTCAACACAGCTCTCCTCATTTTGTCATCATTATGAATTTTGGGAGGTTTGAGAAAATGAGCTTCAAGTTTCAAAAGATCTTGAGGTAACTCAACTTCTGACTTCCCAGTGTCAGACACAAGTCTGCAAATATAAACCACCATACGAGTTGACAAAATAAAATACTGTTACATTTATTGACTACTCAAAACATCAGAGCCAAGTGTTAAGAGTATTTATTCAAAGGTTTCTGACTCATAAAGAAGTTATGCAAGTTCATCAACTTTTGTGAGAATGTATGGCATTTGGATACAGACCCAGGTATATAGTTGAGCAATTTGTAAGATCTCATGAGTATCAGCTACAGACAAACCAACAGTCAAATCAGTGGAAACATCTAAATGTTGATTCTGAAGAAGAAGCTAAAGTCCATACCATCGGCTGGTAAAGTGAGTGTTTTGGTTTTCTGTGAACCCAATGGGTTCCAAAGGATCAGGCCATTAATGGCAAATATTATGATACTCTGATTTAGCAACTGCATGAGCATTTCAAGCAGGGGTGGAAATAACTTTAAAATTGCTAGTGTACACAGGTACACATGTAAAATCACTTGCCCTGATAATGTTTCCTCTATACCGGCCGATTTTTTGTTGATTTTTTAAATAAACATAATTAACATTGGAAAGTCAACTGGACATTGGTACAGCGTACTATACAAATTTGCTTGCCCAACTGGAAAAAACACTGGACTTTGATGTCAGGCAATGGGTTATTTCCATCCCTGTCAAGGCTAACCACCAACATGGAAACCTCTCTCAGAGTGTTCTGTTCCACAAGTACAAGGCACCTGAACTCAAGTATTTTGTTGCCATTGTTGCAAGGCATGACTGTGGCTTTGAACTAATTTTAACATCCGCTGTTTCAGATGGATTTTGCACTGTACAATTGAAGACCCTGGATATCTGGATACATTTGTTTTCGGTAAATCGTCCGGATAACTGAACAGCCGGATATCTGGATTTCTGTCATCCAGGCTTAGGTGTTGAAACGAGGGTGCTGCAAGCATACATTTCTGGTTTAAAATCACTTCCAACAGCATGGTCGTTTTGATTTGCCAATTACAATTCACTCTGTGTCAGATAGGCCTACTAATCACCACGAATACCCTGATGATCGGTCATTAATCCGGATTAGCAGACCTTGTCTCGTGTGAAGACACCTGGAACACTCGTGCTTCACTTCACATGGTCAGCGGAAGATCAAAGCTTTGTGCGGATAAGTGAGTCAATTTTGTGTTGATTCAGTCGGTTGGTTTGTAAAATTTACCATCCGGGAACGGAAACCGCATATCCGTTATAGACAGTCACTTTTACAACGTAAGAGATTGGTTATTCATGAATATTGACCGAAAGGCGAGGTTTCCGGATATTTGGGGTCCGGGTATCCAGGGTCTCACTGTAATTGTTTCTGCTATTCACTTTTTACATCACAAGGCAGGGCTACAGACAAACCAACAGTCAAATCAGTGGAAACATCTAAATGGTGATTCTGAAGAAGAAGGTAAAAATCCATACCATCGGCTGGTAAAGTGAGTGTTTTGGTTTTCTGTGACCCAATGGGATCCAAAGGATCAGGCCATTAATGGCAAATATTATGATACTCTGATTTAGCAACTGCATCAGCATTTCAAGCAGGGGTGGAAATAACTTTAAAATTGCTAGTGTACACCGGTACAGTGGCACATGTAAAATCACTTGCCCTGATAATGTTTCCTCTATACCGGCCGATTTTCTTGCTGAATTTTTAAATAAACATAATTAACATTGGAAAGTCAACTGGACATTGGTACGGTGTACTATACAAATTTGTTTGCCCAACTGGAATAAACACTGAACTCGGACGTCAGGCAATGGGTTATTTCCATCCCTGTCAAGGCTAACCACCAACATGGAAACCTCTCTAAGAGTGTTCTGTTCCACAAGTACAAGGCACCTGAACTCAAGTATTTTGTTGCCATTGTTGCAAGGCATGACTGTGGCTTTGAACTAATTTTAACATCCACTGTTTGCACTGTACAATTGAAGACCCTGGATATCTGGATACATTTGTTTTCGGTAAATCGTCCGGATAACTGAACAGCCGGATATCTGGATTTCTGTCATCCAGGCTTAGGTGTTGAAACGAGGGCGCTGCAAGCATACATTTCTGGTTTAAAATCACTTCCAACAGCATGGTCGTTTTGATTTGCCAATTACAATTCACTCTGTGTCAGATAGGCCTACTAATCACCACCAATACCCTGATGATCGGTCATTAATCTGGATTAGCAGACCTTGTCTCGTGTGAAGACACCTGGAACACTCGTGCTTCACTTCACATGGTCAGCGGAAGATCAAAGCTTTGTGCGGATAAGTGAGTCAATTTTGTGTTGATTCAGTCGGTTGGTTTGTAAAATTTACCATCCGGGAACGGAAACCGCATATCCGTTATAGACAGTCACTTTTACAACGTAAGAGATTGGTTATTCATGAATATTGACCGAAAGGCGAGGTTTCCGGATATTTGGGGTCCGGGTATCCAGGGTCTCACTGTAATTGTTTCTGCTATTCACTTTTTACATCACAAGGCAGGGCTCGATTTAGTGCTTTGTTACTTGCACTGGTGCAACCCAATATTACAAAGTGCAACCTAGTTATTAGTCTAACTTGCATCAGACGCAAGTCAATTTTTGAGTGGTAAACTTCTGAATAAAACATCTAAATAATTCAATAGCATATTTCTGATATTACATATTGCAATAACAGTGCAACTGGAATTTGACTGGTGCAACTAGGTTTTTTATCTTAGAGTGCACCTGGTGCAAGTAGGTTAACATCTCTTAAATCGAGACCTGCAAGGAAGGAGCATTGTTAGTGCAATGTTAAAGAATGTGAGTTAAAGTTAACCTTAGTAAAGGTTGCTTTGTGAAATGAGACCCAGATCTGACTATGAGTACAGATACAACGATACGACAAGTTGGTATTGCATCATTATACAACTGCCCTGTTGCAATATGTATGCTTACATTACATTACATTACAATTCACAGTGATGTAAAAACAAACAGTTCAAGAAAGATTTTATTCAGAATCTCTAGTATTTCTTGCAGAAACTGACACAAGAATATTCCTGTGAACATTGATATTCACATACCTAATATCCTGAATCAACTGAGTCAGACTCTTGTTTAGCTCCACTTCACACAGCTTCGTCCAGCCAGACACCTGATGTCAAATAGAACTGAAAATCATTTCTTGGTCTTGTTTCGAATTATTCAATGGTGCACTCCAACTATAGTATTATTGATTATCAGGTCTGGACCTGTAAAACCTGTTGTTGTTAGAGAGAACAACAGCCCTTGTTGGCGTATTATGACATGCAGTCAACTCAGTGTTTATGAATAGCGTCTGACCCTCTGACAAATCCGGCAGATTCGCCAACGGTCCGATAGAAGTCTACAACTCGCCAGCCCCAGTGTCCGACTGTATATTTCACAATGACTTTTACGTAAGTTGCTATATGTGACATGTGACACTTGCTTGCTGTTTATAAATCTTATGTGTGTTAATAATTTCAATGCCAATTATAAGAAATGTTAAATCTGAAATGTGTGTTTAATTTTATTCTATGGGTCCTGTGAATTTTCAGTGGGTCAGACAGACATCTGAAACTTACAGGACCCAATGTCCTGTTACTTTGAAACACCATTCGTGAACACTGTCAACTAATTCACTACTTCATCTTGACCTGAATAGGTTTCCTGGGGACCTATTCTGACCTTGAACCCTAAAGGATCTCAAATTGTTTTAGAGTGAGTTGGACTTAGTTAAAAATTGGTATCAAAAGTTTTATTATCTGAAGACAAATACAATGATGCATTGAACAATTTTAAAAGAGTAAGTGAGCATGATTTTTCAGCATGGAAAACATTTCAACAGGGATTTATCTTGGCTGCATATATTCTAGAGTCTTTCATACATGACTATGCTGTATTTCCTTACCACCTCAATTATGAAACTTAATGCAGTAAAAGGATTCTCACAGACAACAAATTTACCCATGACAGTAAATAGAAGCAGATGCCATGGCATTCGGAAACGAGATGATGTATAACATTTGCACTACAACAAATTTGTGGCTTATTTTGAGGGCATTGGAAACCCAATCATAACCGCTCTAAAGATACAGAAAATAGTCCATTTGGTCTGAATGCTTTCCTCACTCATTCGAATTTAGAAGCCTTAAAGTTTAAAATCAATAACGGACATCAATTTGTCAACAATCACTGTCTGGGAACTAATTATTGAATGAATGAACATGCTGAACATTCCTAACCTCTGCACACATCCTCAAGCTCCCTTGTCTGAAGCCCTGAAACAGACAGATGGGGTATATGTCACGAGGTAAGACACCATAACAACAGTTTATTAATAGCTGCTGTAATGGCATATTGAAATTTGGATTCAAACTGTTCGAAATATTCTGGTGTAAACATTGATTTAATATGGAACAAGCATCTCAAGTTTCAGACTTGATTATATACCGACAGCCATCACATATGGTATATGTCATGAAGTAAGACACCATAACAAGAGTTTATTAATAGCTGCTGTAATGACATATTGAAATTTGATTTCACACCGTTTGAATTCTGGTGTAAACATTGATTTAATATGGAACAAGCATCTCAAGTTTCGATTATATACCAACAGCCATCACATATGGTATATGTCATGAAGTAAGACACCATAACAAGAGCTTATTAATAGCTGCTGTAATGACATATTGAAATTTGATTTCACACCGTTTGAATTCTGGTGTAAAATATTGATTCAACATGGATTGGAACAAGCATCTCAAGTTTCAGACTCAATTATACAGACTGTCGTCATATAGCTGGAATATCGCTGAGTGTGATGTTAAACAACAAACCAAACAACTCAAGTTTCAGACACATCTGTCTAGTCGTTTCTGAAGAGGGTGCCTTTAGGACTGAAGATATGCATTTTGAAAGAATTTATGTTCACTGTCAAAGTGAAAAGATCAATAAAGGTCAATGATAAATGTTTGTTGAAGATAAGTGACAACATGAGCTCACATGGCTTTTTGGGCCAGGAAAGGTAATAACCAATAACCAAAGGTATATCCTACATGCTAAGTCAAATACTTATAATGAGGAAATAATTACCAGCAAATCCTTAAAGTGCTTGGTGGGACTGGTTGCATCTGCCAACTTAACAAGATGACGAACTGCACAACAAAGTCCTGACCTGACCATAGCAATTTTTGGATCAAATATCACAGGCAACTGGCAGTTCTGAACAATCAGGGGAAGTAACTCTGTCTCGGTGAATGTGTGGTGGAGCTTCTGCAATGCATGCAGTGGTAATTCGATCTGTTCTTCACTCTGTGCAGCTGCATCCTTAACAAATATAATGCGCACATCCACAGGTGCACAGTATTCCACAACAAACAGCACTGCACTTGATGAAAGAGTCACTGCACAACCACTGTTGTTTTTCAGCCTGCCGCTCAAATACACTTCTGCCACCATGTTGGGTATTTCTTGTTGTGATTGTGGACGTGTTTATCTCCCTTCACCTGCAACAATAGGAAGTCATTATTTTGGTTATGGTGAGATTACCAACATCATTTCTGGCATAAACATCACTGCCCCAAGAAAGATTCCAGCTTGTGGACATAAGGTTGCTCTGGCAGAAGTATATTATACACATGGTACTCACATGTTCAACAGGGCCCAGGTACACTGATCAAGATGTTCTACCAATACAGCTTCCAACATCTCTTTCTAACAGTTGCCTCAATAATTAGTTACTAACAGAATGACCTAGTGGCTGATCCAAGGATTCCTTAAAATTTGTAACTTGAGAGTTGGACTTCACCTTTTGTTTTACTTTTCCCTTTACAATATCAGTCTGCGACTTGAGCCATTTGAATGAGTAAGTAAGTGAGTGAGGTTTCCTGCTTCTGTTTGCAAATTCGACCACATACAACCAGTCCTGCAGGACCTACACTGGCTGCCAGTGTGCTACTGGATACAGTACAAGATACTTATACTGGTGTTCCTGTCCCTCCATAACAAAGCACCAGATTACCTCAGCAGTCTGCTGACCAGATACCACCCACCTAGGACACTGAGCTCATGTGACAAGTTTCTCCTAACTGTACCCTCCTCCCGTACACTCTTTTGAATGTGCAGGACCCCTTCTCTGGAACAGTCTCCCACTTGACATAAGAACCGAGCAAACATTGTCCACGTTCAAATCTAAGCTCACAACTTTCTTCTTCAATATGACATTTCAATGACCCTTTTCAATTATCTCAGACACTAGCGCTTTTGAGCAGCTTACGCTGGATACTAGCGCTTTACAAATGTTTGTATGTATGTATGTATGTATGTATGCATTATTTCAGCAATACTACATCATCATGAGCATGTTTTCACTTTACATCAGTCTGCGACTTTAGCCATAGAGTGAGTGAGTGAGTGAGTGAATGAGGTTTCCTGCTTCTGTTAGCATTATTTCATCAATATTACATTAAGAGATACCAGAAAGCAGCTTCGAACCTGGGCCTTAGGCTTGATGAATGAACACTTTAACCATTAGGCTACGCCACCACCTTAAGCCTGACACAAGTACAATCCTATTGTCTCATAAGCTCAGCCGATAAACATCCATAGTGTAAAAAAAATATATATATAGTTTTTCAAATGTTTTTGGCACAGATTGCAATATACATAATTATTTCAAATTCTAAGATGCCAAGCGGTTAGAACAATCGATAAAAAGATACATTATCAGACAATAAAGGTATCGTTTCTTGATGACGTAACAATTGAATGATGTTATCCCGTCACTGCACCATTCTAGTGTGCCACTCGTGATCGAACCATTTTACATTACGTCACAATGTAAGCAACGTCACTATGCATGTCAGTTGTCATCGCCTCATACGGCCTCCTACAGTAAACAACTCCGTTGCATCCCGTTTCTTGGTTTGCAGTTGCTTCACGCAGCTAACATCACTGGTGGAAACATTACGTATATGTTTTACGACGGTTCAAATGTGTCAATTCGACTCACAAGTTTTTAGCGACACGGTAACGTTCGCAATGTTTACATTCCCACAATGCAATCGTGGAATGTCGCTTGACTACTCAGCTTCATCTGGATGTACTTATCTAAACTTACGTTGGAAGTAGAAATGTGACGTTCATATTGCCCCATATGGTTTACGTTAATGACAGATGTAATTAAAATAATTCAGAGAAGATATTTAATCCGAACGTAAACCGTCATCAAACTGTTATCATTTGTTTCTTTCTGGTAACGTTCGTGTTAACCTAGGGGGCAGACACATCAATAGAACAGCATGCCAGTTAGCAGTTAGATTTAGGTCACCGACGCCGTCGTTTGTTTTCTGCCTTAAATAAATCGTAATTATCCTTATAAAGTATTAAATTTGGCATCTTAGAAAAGAAATACAGTTCGCTCTACCACCATGTATAGTGTAATAAAACACACTTTCGCACTGAACTATTATAACGTTAAAGCACTCAGATGCAAGCGTCCTCGTACTTTAACTATAATAGTTCAGGGCGAAAGTGTGTTTTATTACACTATACATGGTGGTAGAGCGAACTGTATTTCTTAAATACATGATGGCATTTCTCTTTTTTTATCATGACTGACTGACTGACTGAGTTTAGTTTTACGCCGCTTTTAGCAATATTCCAGCAATATCACGGCGGGGGACACCAGAAATGGGCTTAACACATTGTGCCCATGTGGGGAATCGAACCCGGGCCTTCGGCGTGACGATCCAACGCTTTAACCACTAGGCTACCCAACCGCCCCTTTTATCATGACAGTTGGTAATAATATTATGTCATATTTTAAGGGGGGGACCCCATGACATTCCCTTGCCCACCATCCTTTTTCATCCATCACCTTGATAACACAGATAAATGAGAAACAGCCTATTGACTGCACCATCCCCACTTCCCATTCTAAAAAAGATATTTTAACAAATAAATGTATGCGGTGGAATCTGTCAAAATCAGACTCTGATTCATTGCAATCTCTGTCAATACCCGGACCACATTTACCCTCAACATCTTTCTCTGTGTTGATTAATCATCAAGTAAAATCTGCCTACTCTGGACAAAGGACCAATTCATTGCTTAATTGACACTCCCAACTTTTAACAGATCTCTCTCGCATGTTCTGAAACCTGATTTCATCAATAAGCTTCTGTCAGGGAGTAATGCCCAAACAATTGCTATATATACTTCAGAAATGAGATAAAAAAATGGGAAAGTTTACCACACCACTCCTACCACTAATTTTTTTCACAAACGCTTCAAACAAGACTGAACTAAGGTCCCAAAATGGGCTTTTCTCCAACATTAAGCTGACATGCCATGCTATAACTGGTATACTAGTAAAAGAGGCGTTAAACCCAGCTCCTCACTCAAATTACAGTCATTTCAAAGGATCAAATGTGTCCAGTGATTTATTTTTTCACAAAGGCAGAGATGAGTTGTAAATTCCGACATCTCAAATATATGGAAAACTGTTATAACATAAGGTATTTTCTTTGGTCAAACAAGTAATTAAACAGAGACATGCTTGCAAGCAACGCTGTTAATTACCTTCATATACATCTAGAAACCTGTTAATATTTGAATTTTCCATCCTTCTAACACAAGGATGAGGGGATTGCAGAGAACAAATAGAGTCTAATTTGATGTAGCCAAACAAGGTTAAGGTAAATCAATTTCTGCCTTTCTGCATCTTGAATTGTCAAAATGATAACATAAGACAGGTTTGGCTTGTATTTCTACAAACATTGTTCATTAATCAAATAGTCTTAATAAATGATAGACTTGTTAAAAGCTGCCAAATAACACAAATGATTGAATATAACTTCACATCGAAACACACTAATTATTTCTTTGTAAAAGATGGAGCAACATTATTGCTGTTCAGTGTAGACTAAATTATTCACAATTTATTGCTGATGCAAAACTTGAGAATATTCTTGTCATTTCTTGATCATAAGATGAATGTCATGTATACATCATGCGAAGATTTAGACTGGCGTTTTATGTACTTGAGAAAGGTTCAAAACAACCATTTTCGGTTGCACGTCTGAAGCTTCAACTTAAACAATTTTAATTCATATACCATTAGCATGAAATACTGTTATTTAGTTCCAGTGGCAGTGGGAAAGTTTTTCGGGTTACTCGAGTTCCAACCATGCTAACTGTAAACGCGTGGTGTGTTTCCTGCATATGTTTTTGACATGATCGCCATCATTCCCGACTGAGTCAAACTGGGAGAGTTATCATCATTCACTGCTGGGTCAGGTTGTACATATCAAACACGTGCACGGCAAGATGAAAATAATAAAAGAGACACGTGTGCTGATTATCGTGACATGCGAGATTGTGCTAAATACAGCGAGTGACATCACATTCAAAATACAAATTATGGCGCACCTGCTATCTGCATCGAGGCTGGGATAAATAAGCCCGATCTGTGAAACTACAAAAACTTTTTTCGCTGTTTGAGGTCACACAAGTGTTGATGAGCACCGTATTGACTTTGCAATATACCAGACGGTGTTCCCCTTGTATTTATCGCTGAGTACACTTTCGCATGAAATAGGGGTACCAACGAACGATGTTGTAAGTTTTGTAACAAATGTGCGCCTTCCGTTGCTGACTCAGTTATCGTTTTCATGTTTCTGAAAACATGCATAATGTACACGAATGCAAAAAAGGTCGTCTTCGGGGCTCGATTGAGCTACAAAGGTGAATGCAGCCCGTTTGTCAATATCTGTCACCCCTTAACAACAGTGGGTCAACCAAGCCGACTTTCTGTCGCCAGTCATTCGTGACGTCATCATTTGTGGGCCCTTCTACCGACACGCACGTGTTTACGTTTACGCATTAAAATAGTGCATCGTTATATATTCTTCCCTTTAGCGAATACAACATACAGCATAAACAATTATTGACTTCACCAATAGAGTATGTGTTTGTAGTACGAATAAAAATATATTTGCTGCGAAATAAGTTTGTATAACAAACAGGAAGTACAAGTCAAAACGAGGCGCGCATTAATATGTCGGCCTACATTTCGTTGCTGCTGCTTCCCGTCTGACTGTCGCCACTTACAATAGCAAAGAAATTTTCAGCTTGCCCTGCGACTAATTTTGATGGAAAAATTTCATGAGTGGCGTTTCCCGCCCTAGAATCAGCTCAAGGGGTTCTGAATAATTTAGTATATATAATCAGAAGATAACCAGACCTACTTGTGGATAATATCAGGTAAAATTTTCACTTTCTTTCGTCAGAAATTTGGCCTTATCGCCATGTTTTCGATCGTGAAAAATCGCAACATCGTGGGGAGCAATGTGTGTGCATTGCATTGATCTGTCACATTCTCTTGCGAAAGATCGTAAGTTTGTCGGTTTTATTTACAGCTGTTAGGAAATGTACTTAAACTCGAAGGAATAAGCCTCTGATACCTCAGATACTTTCCTTAAACCTAAAAAATATTTTTCAACTTCATTTTGATGTAGAAACTAAGCGAAATGTAATGGAAACAGAGAGGGCGTGGATTCAAGTTTTGCCTTGCATGTATGTAATTTTAAAGTGTCCACATCACAGTAAAATTCTTCGATTTCCACTTTGTCGCATGCAACTTAAAGTACTATTCTTGTTTACTAGATTGTGAATGATTTCATAATGTCAATACATCATGACCGTTGTGATGCCTGTCAATATTTACAGAGATATAAATTTGAGTGAAATTTCGTTAATTTATTACAAAATGAGTCATAGGATGTCAAATTCAAAGGTTATTTTCATTTGGAACACGTGTATTTCAATAATTTCATGTAACTAGCTGCAAACATGGTTGCATTGTTTACACATCAGTATTAGAATATAGGTATATGTGTAGGGCCTATGTACACATGTTTATTATATTTAAGTAATCATAATGATTTGAGGAAAAGTTATAAAATTATTGTAGATTCCAATCAGATGAATTCTACAAGATTATGTGGGCTGCAGGGTAGAAGTTGAAGGTCAAGGTGTCTGAATGAGAATTTCTCTCATTACACCAGACAGGTTTGATTGCAAACAGTAAGAGCACTAATTTGACTTCAAGTGCAATATGGGCCTAAGTCAATTACTGATGGTTCATTGTGACTTCCACTAACCCACTGCTCTACTATTCTGTACTCCTCAGAGCCTGTCAATAGACCAATTAGCAGTTTGTTAGGGACCAATTACCAAGCAATGACTTCCTGTCAAGTTAATTAACACTTGTGACACTGTTTATCTGGGTACACAGTGTGTATTCGCCAAGGTGTTGTTAAAGACACTATTCTGCAGTGTGTGACGTTAGGGTTGAAAGTGCAATATTGGTGATTTATCACATTCCGGACCTCTGCACACAGCACCTCAGGTTGTGTTTGTTATTCTTTGTTGCTAATTTACAGTTACAACATTTTTTATTCTAGTAATAACTGTACATAAAATGTTGTTAATCCACATACATCTGATATTATGATTTATGTTCTAGTCCTCGTCATATGTGTTTTGGGGGATGCTCTCTGGGGTCAGGGAACTAGGTGTGTTACTAACTAGAGTACATCTTTAATTTCCAGGGCTTTTATAGTTTTTAATTTTCAGAGTTATAGATAAAGGTGTTTTGCAAATTGTAGTACACTTGTGAAAAACCCCATTTGACCTGTTGGCTCCCTTATCGATGTAAAGATTGAACACTGCAAACCCAGAAAAAGCTTTGGAAATCCTTCTAAGGAGTACCTTATCTATTTACCTTATTAACCTTATCAATTTATTGAAAGTTATATTTGTTACTCTATATTGCATCCTGGTTGTATAATGTTTTGCTGGTTGTATAATGTTGTATAAACTTTCTGAAGCCAGTAAATGATGGAACACTAATAATGAATTATCATTAGATGCCTCCGATTGTAACCAATAATCATTGTTTTATTCTTTTCATCAGATTGAACCTTTGAAATGTTAATGACATTGATAAACTGGTTCGGTAAGAGTTCCTTATGTAGCCCCCACCTAATTTTAAGCTATGAACTATACACTAAACTATAGTGTTTGCTCATCACTAAAATAGGCAGGGGGTATGTAAGGAACTCTTTCCACTGGTTCATAAAGGTTTTGCATGAATATCGTCACGACATGGCTGAAATATTGCCGATGTGACATTAAATATTAACTCACTTTTGCATGAATAGTGTAGCTTTGAGCCTTAGAATATAAAATTGGGTTCCTATAACCGACATGCTTTTATTTTGTTCGTATGTATTTCAAATCTTTATCTAGGTTATCCTATGGGCCACTGTTCAGCAATAAGTCATGGTCAGGGTGGGTGGGGGTGTTTTAAAATTGTCTACCTACACTATATATGTTTAATGATAACATATCATTCAGTGCAGGGCATAGAAAATTAACCAAGTCTTTTGTTCATTCCAGGCTGGTTCAATCATGACGTCACCACTATCCAGTATATTCTCATTCACAAGTCCTGCTGTCAAACGTCTCCTTGGATGGAAACAGGGTGATGAAGAGGAAAAATGGGCAGAAAAAGCAGTAGACTCTCTTGTTAAGAAATTGAAGAAAAAGAAAGGTGCTCTTGAGGATTTGGAAAAGGCCTTGAGCTGCCCTGGACAGGCCAGCAAATGTGTAACTATCCCTAGATCGTTGGATGGTCGACTTCAAGTCTCCCATCGCAAGGGACTCCCTCATGTTATATACTGCCGTGTGTGGCGATGGCCTGACCTTCAGAGCCACCATGAACTGAAGCCACTAGAAATCTGTGAATATCCGTTTAGTGCCAAACAGAAGGAAGTCTGTATCAACCCATACCATTATAAGAGGGTGGAAAGCCCAGGTAATGCGATATTTTGTTTTGTAATTGTTTTAAAGTATCCCTTTTTAACCACATTTATGTTTTCTTGGTTTTTATATATCCTGAAATTGCTACTTTGTTTTCTTGCTTGGCACTCTCATTAGTTATTCATATTGGAAAATGTTGGCAACTGACAAATTGAAGGTGGTCTAAATTTATCCTGGGACCCCTTGTCAGTGGAACTGACAACACAGCAATTTTAGTAGAACTCGGAGATAAACATGCTGTTTGATTTTGATATGACCTGTAGTTAGGTTACTTGCTGATTTTAATGAAATGGAATTTTCAACTGTTAAATTTAGTGTGCAGTAGGCTACTATAATTATAGCTCTGGCGTTTAGACTTAAAAGTCCAACTGAAGTGGGCATATGAATGTTGTAATTGTAATGTTGAAAAATATTACGTCACAGGTGCCAATAGAAATTGTCAAATGTTTCATTAGTTCATTGTCTGATGGCAATTTTTCTTACACCACTACTACCCATTGTTCCGGGAAGGTAAGCTACTAAAAATTTAACAGTAATATTTATTCAAAGTTTCAATTAAGTTAATTATTGAGGTAAGTAACTCAGGAAGAGATTGGTGTAGAGGTTTTATATATATTTCATGATTTGTAGACTGACAATGACTGAGAAAGATTCAACAAAGATTCTTCCATTCAATCACAGGGGGTTGTTGTGATTTAAAACCTCTGATTGACCAATCAGGAGCCAGTAATCTTAAGATTAGAAGTCAAGTAATGTGATGTTATTCTCTTTAAGCTGTAATTTTCATTCTGTGGGCGAGTTTTATTTAGTAAACTCAATAACTGTAACTAACAATAACTGTTTATTAGCGTTGTGATGGGTATCAAAGTATCCATTCATACTGCTAATATATAGAAGGAGGTCAACCAGCTCAATGCATATCAGTTTTTTTGTTTGTCTCAGTTTGTGGGGCTGTTGTGGTACATGAGAGACCTACTGGTATATTTTGCATCAAAAGAAAAACATTGATTGAAATATCTTTCTTGGAATGTCTATTTCAAGAAACTGGGCCTGAAAAAAGAGTTCGTGAGTGGGTTTTGGTTTTACGCTGCTTTTTAGCAATATTCCAGCAATTTCACAGCGGGGAACACCAGAAATGGGCTTCTCACATTGTACCCATTTGGGGAATCTAAGCCGGGTCTTTGGCATCAACCCGTGAAGATCGGGGTTAGAATATTGATCTTCAGTAGCCCATGCTTGTCGTAAGAGAGTAACCCATGCTTGTCGTAAGAGGCGACTAACAGGATCGGGTGGTCAGACCGCTGACTTGGTTGACACATGTCATCGTTTCCAAATAGCTCAGATCAATGCTCATGCTGTTGATCACTGGATTGTCTGTTCCAGACTCGGTTATTTACAGACCGCCGCCATATAGCTGGAATATTGCTGAGTGTGGCGTGAAACTGAACTCACTCACTCACTCTTTGGCATCATGAGTGAACACTTTTACCGCTATGCTACACTACCACCCCTGGTCCTGAAAAGGAGTGAACATGTCCAAACAGTTATATAACTATTATTCTGATGTTTATTTTTCATAGCACCAACTGATCCCATGTTCCATCCCTCTGAGGATGGATATAATTCTTATTTTTCAGGACCAAACTGTGTTCAAATGATGTTTCTTTAAAACCAATTTTCACTTCAACTTCTGTCTTATAAGTGGGAACGGGCAGTAGGGTAGCCTAGTGGTTACAGAATACGATCTTCACACCGAAGACCTGGGTTTGATTCCCCACATGGGTACCATACGTGAAGCTCACTTCTGGTGTTCCCCTGCCATGATATTGCTGGAATATTGCTAAAACTGGCATAAAACTAAACTCACTAATTATGGGAACAAAAAATGGACTTCGACTCAACTATTGTTGAGGTTTGTAGATCAGTCTCCTGGAGAAAATATGGGAACATCCATATCTGAGAAATGCATCCTTATTTTGTCCTTATGTTTCTGAAATTCTACCCATGATTTACTTGACCTAATGAATCTTAGCAATCTTTGGATCATGTTGAATCTTGTTTTTATGAGCCTAGGTTTTGTTATTATTTGGTGACGCTTGAGAAAATTGTGTTGTTTCAAGGAACTTGATGAGGTCAGCAATGGATTTAATCTGAAACTATCTGTGATGATATTTCATAGTGGGGTTGGTTCATTTCTGATCCTGATAACCTAATGACCAATCATCATAAGTAAAATACACATGTGGTATTTGTAATGTGTCAGACGGTTTGCCACATCTGCAGCATATTGCGTTCCAGTTTTCAGTGGTAGGCAGTGACAAGCAGAACAAGTGGGTATGCACCCATGCACTTCTCAGTCCTGTCATCGCATTGGCGAGAAAACAATTAAGTTGCTGCTAACACCACCTGACGTTCATTAGTTTTGGCAATTTATTGTTGTTGAGTCATGGGTTATGTAGTAGGAGATATTCAAATTGTTGTGAGAAGGGACGCAGGCTGAATGTTTAGTCTAGTTGTGGACTGAACCTGGTGATGAAGTCATCCCATGTATGACAGATGATTGATATCAGTGTGATGTACTGCAGTCCTCTTGCTGATATGTATCTAGGCTTGCTGCAAGTCTCCTAGAAGTCTAGCTGCTGGTATCAGTGGGACGATGTTCTATCATCCTCTCCATTAGTTGGTAACCAGACTTGTTTAAAAACAGACAAACAAATCTTAACTTTGCTGTGTATCAGTTTCTTTGGAATGCTAATGTTGCAAGACAATTCATTTGGTGTTGGTTAACACACCAAGAGCACTAGTAACAGAGCTACAGATAACTTTTTGGGGTGTTGAGTTATGTATTCAGCTGTGTTCATCTCAATTGGGTATCCTAATTTTTCTTTCAGTAACCCCAAAAATGTACCCACCTCACTCAAACTCAATTGGGTATTTTGTCATTTTTCATTAATTGTAAAAATATAATAGAGTTTAATGTTGGTTTACATGTTTGTTATTTATATGAGAAACGATAAGAAAGACTTCAAGTTGCCGAGTTCATGTGCTGATATAGAACCTCTCAATATATCAAGTTATTTTATCTAACCTGAGTAACCTTCATCTGTAGCACATGGGTCTACTTACTCCAAATTCTAGTAGGTTTGGTGACAGGAACTAATTCACCGGTACACAAGCTAACATTTGACATTTTTTGTGTGCACGCATGTAAGATCAAATTTATTGAGTATTTACAAAATATCAAGTGTAGTACGCAATATACGTAATAGGAATTGAGTTTTCACATAAATTTACTCACATACTCTGCTTATCCGTACCTCTGTAGTAATCTTTTAAAAGTCTTATTTTGATATAGGATTTTTATTGTTTCCTAATTGGAGGTTGAGGAAAACGGAAACACATACTTATGATGTTATACATTAAAGAGCTGTCCTGATTAATTTGGTGTGTAGTTATAAGGTCTTAAGGGCTGATCATGATTTGTTGTCATTGACTGAACATTAAAAACAATCAAATATTGTCAGGCATGATTTGTGTCTCTAATGGGAATAATTGATGATGTTTCAGACTGAACTAGTGTTGGAAATTGGTTAAAATCTCACAATTGATGATTAGTTCTCTACCATCGAGCGATCATCAAAAAAGAATTGGTTAGCGACATTTTTCAGATTTTCCTATTCTGGTTGTTATTGCAGATAAGTATAACATGATGCAACTTTGCTACTTTAAAGTGATGACTAAATTTCCTGAACATAAACTTTCTGGAGTCTTCAAGAAATATTCAGTCATGACTATTCAGTAAAAAAGAAGTGAGTTTTCTGAGAAATAAACACGTTTTCTAGCCCTGACAACTTCTGAAGACATGCTCCATTGTCAAGTGTTTCAAAGACTAAAACAGTAGTTCCAAAATCGTTTGTGTTCGATTATGAGAAAATGTGATCGATTGCTTGGTCATTTGGTCACTGTGACCAATCTTCGATTATTTCAATTAATCGGAACATCACTAGTCTGAACTATATTCGATAGCTGTATATGTATTTCCTATTTGCCACAATGGCTTTGTTTGGAAGTGACATCACCAACTTCATCTGTACTCTTACTATCATTAACTTAGAAAAGAATTCTCTGGCCCATGAACTTGAAGTCAACAAATAATCAAAATGCCATTTCCTGAATCTGAATTGAGCATGAATCTGCGTTAAAAATCAGTAATGTAGTAAATGTTGTAACAAGTAACTGGAAAATGTGTTTTCCTGAGTAATGAGATGAGGGGAGGGGAGGGAAAGTCCTTATCCTACTGGACGTTCTGTTTGTATTTGAGATAACACACAAATGTCCAAGTCGTATACTGCTAACTGATATTGGCACTGTGTAACTGGATTGGACATCAATTTATAGCATCTTGACATTCAAAACAAATCTATAGTGGCAGAATAAGAATGAAAAATAAACAGAATGAAGGTAAACAACATCGGATAATCGAGTATGGGCACTTTCGCTCACAAAACCCAGATTTTTTTCCCAGTATTAGTTCAAGCAGTTAGTAACAAGACCAAGGACATTATCTGTAAACTTTAGCCATAATGCAGCTGAAGTGCTGTTCTAACTCTGAGACAAAAAACCAAGTAAACTGTAGTTGTGAAAACCCATTTATATATCCACAGTAAAATCTACATGAAAAGATACAGAAGACCTTATCTGGAATATGAAACGCAAAAGATTCTGGTACAGGCTAGGGCACTTGCTGTATTATGGCTGCAATATTTCTAAAAATCTAAAGAGTTGAAAAAATTCCTTTGAGCCAAGTGGCTTTTGCATGAATACTTCAAGGAGCCACTAAGATGAATGAATATTTGTTAAAACTGTTTGCGATAAAACGGAGTGGCGACATCCATGTTAGTTTTAACTATTGATCAGAGGCATCTCCAGTACGATAAATTATCAAATTTCACATGAAAAAAGGAAAATCTAAATTATGTCAGTCAGATTTATTTT